GAGGTGTCTTGGAGGTGGTGGAGGTGACAAGCACTGTTGTTAGTAATAAGGTCACAAGTGAATTATTTCTTCCATTGTTAGTGCATGTGCTTAAGGATTGGCCACTTGCACCACCATTTATGTCTGTTAAGAAGGAACAGCCCTGGGGTGATATGGGTGTTTTGCTTGCATCCACACTCACTTGGCAATTCCCAATATTTGTTCCAGTTTTCACTAGATCAGAGACATCAAAGAACCCTCTACTATTTGTAGATGTTGAATGACGGTCTCCTGGACAAACTAGATTTACCTTGGCACCTACAAAAAATAACAAGATCAGAAGAATTCAGAAGATTCAATTCAGAAATTTTCTTACCCAAGATGCCATTATGAGAAAGTGAACCACAATTAGTACAATAGACATAGCCCTCCACTTTGATACTTGTGGTGGCATAACAAAAATGCTCATTTTTCAAAATGACTGCAAGTAATAAAAACAAGTAAAGGAATTTTTTGTTTTCCATACTTGCATGGTATTATGAGGTGAAAGAGCGCCCTTATATAATAAGTATAATAAGTATCTTGTGCTCTAAGTCAAAAAATCTATGGTAAAACTAATAAGATGCTAGACTAATAACACTTTTTTCAAAACTAAAAATATTCAGTACTTTTAAATCATTTTTACTTAGAAAGATCAGAAAAATAAAACTTCATATCTAGGTGAGCAATAATACAGGTTCCATGTCACGAATTTTGTCTAAGACATCTAAAAAAAAAAAATGATTATTGACATTAAATAAAAATATAAACAAATCTATAATCATGATTAAAACCAATAAATTATGATAATTAATATTTTCCAAATATTAGATAAGCACCCATGCTGGGCATCTGTGAGTTGTACCCACTTAGATGAAATGATTTCTGTGATAATACTGTTAGATCCCAAATCTCAAAGGGTTGTAACTTGTAGTCCTCGAACCTTTAACCTGATAAAATATTCTCCTCTGTCCGTGGCCAGTGGCATATGTGGGGCGGTCAACGATTCCAACGCCCAAGAACCAGGGAACTCTCACGTTCGTGCCCTAGCAGGGGATGGTTTCTTCGTCTTCCATCACTGCGCACCTTCCCGCAATGCTCAAGAAATTGGGCGCCTCTGGCAGCTCGTGGAGACAGATCGCCGCTGTCATCGCCGTGGTGAGCGTTTTGTCCCTGACCCAGATGCTGTTCGTGGAAATAGTGCCAATTCCATGGATTTCCACGCCAAAGATGCCGCTAAAATCCAGCCCAGTAGCAGCAGCAGTAGCGTACAGAGGAGCTCGCTGGAGAGCTCCGATCGGGCAGTGGCTGCGACAGTGTGATTTTTCCAAGGCCGCCATAAAAACCACAGAAGTAAGTGGTAGTTTTAGGTGGATCTCAAGGTACCGAGCTTTAAAGTCTTCCATTTTCATGGCTTCCAGAGATTGTTCGCAAAGTCGTGTGAGGAAGATTGCGGTGGTAATGGCGTCTGCAACCGTGAACTTGGGACATGCCGTTGCTTTCATGGATTTAAAGGTACTTTAGTTGCTTTACTCTTTTGTTTGCATGGATCTTCGTTGTTTTAAGTTCTATCTCTTAGATCTAAGTTCTAGATCTAAGTTGTAGCCTAGCTTGAACTCTTTGTCTTTCTGAACTCCTAGCTTGAACCCTTTCTCTTTGTGAACTCCATGCCTCACAACGCCGAGAATTTCTTTCCTTGCGTCCAGGAAAGAGTTGCCAGGAGTTTGAGAACTTCGAGTGCAACAATCCTCCAGCGAAAGAATGGCCATTTGGGGAATGGAGAGTTTCCATCTGTCCTGCGTCCTGTGACAAGCGTCGATCGATGTGCTTTTGCGGAGAACAATCGCTCTATCCACAGCGCCCGGTTGCCGAATCGTGCGGTTTTTTTATCAAGTAAATGCAAGACACTGCTCTTTCGTAAGTTGATGAAACGTTTGAGGTTGTTCTAACTCTCTCTCTTTTCTCTTTTCCCTCGTTTGTAGCGACACCAAACCGGTTGATGAAGTGGACTGGGCAAAGACGGATTTTGAGATCGTCTATGCGAATGCGACCCAGAACAACAGCATTGGGTGGTGTAACGTGAAGCCCGAAGATCACTACAGTGGTAAAGTCAGGCTTAAGCCTCACTGTGACTGCAAATACGATTGCAGCTGGGGACTCCTTTGCGAGACTCCTACCGAGTGTAGCTGTGTGAATCAGTGCTCGGGACATGGAGTCTGCAGGGGTGGCTTCTGCCAGGTAAAAGAAAAGAAAAAAATCACAGTTTTTTTCAGTTTGATCTTAATTCTTTCTTCTTCAGTGTCAAAGTCAGTGGTTTGGAATCGACTGTAGCGTTCCATCAACTGATGTGCCTTCGATTTCTTGGCCGGATTGGCTTCGGCCCGCAACGTTAAGTGTCCCCCAACGCAGCTCGGAGAGTGATGATCAACAAGTTCAAGAAATTTCAGTGGAAAAGAGAAGGCCTCTCATTTATATCTACGACTTACCAGCCGAGTATAATAGCCATCTTCTCGAGGTAACACTATGAACTCATGTTTGCTAGATTTCATCAAGTTTCTGTTTTCTCAGGGAAGACATTTTAAATTCCAATGCGTGACTCGAGTTTACGATGGGGTGAATGCTACGTTTTGGAGCGAGTATCTCGAAGGAGCAGAGGTATAATTTCAGTATTTCTTCTTCTTCCGTTGTTCCTTTATGATCTTTCTTTTAACTTAGCACAGTTGGCATTCCTGGAAGGTCTTCTAGCAAGCCCGCACCGCACCATGAATGGCGACGAAGCGGATTATTTCTTTGCTCCTGTGCTTGGAGCCTGTGCTATAACCCGCGCTGACGATGCTCCACATTTTAGCATGGAGGTATACGCCTTTGCGTCTTTAATTTTCTTTCTCCTACGTGCTTGCAATCTTTGTGCCAGAAACATATGGGACTCAGAGGCTATTTTTCTGGAGAGCTATACAAAAACGCATACATGCACATCAAGGAGCAATATCCATTTTGGAATCGTTCCTCCGGACGCGATCACATCTGGGTATGGTTTTTACGTTGTTTCTGTGGTTTTTCTCACTATCATCATCTCTTTGAACTTCAGCTATTTCCATGGGATGAAGGTGCTTGCTCGGCACCAAAGGAGATATGGAACGGGACAATGCTGGTCCACTGGGGGAATACTAACTCAAAGCACAAGAAATCCACGACAGGCTACTTTGCTGATAGCTGGGATGATATCCCAAAAGAATGGAGGGGTGACCATCCTTGCTATGATCCCCTAAAGGACATTGTTCTTCCGGCATGGAAGAATCCAGATCCAAGGTCCGTCGCAGAGCGATTCTGGTCCAGGTAACAAGAAGCTCGGTTGCTCACAAAGTTTGTTTTCTTAACTCTGATCCACAGGCCTCGAGAAGAGCGCAAAACACTCTTTTACTTCAATGGAAATCTTGGAAAGGGGTATGACTTCGGTCGACCCGAAGACAGGCAAGCACACTCTTAGAGGTCGAGAGAAAGAAAAAACCATTTTTATGCAGATATAGCATGGGAATTCGCCAAAGAGTGGCCGAGGAGTTTGGATCCACTCCAAACAATCACGGAAAACTGGGAAGACAAGCAGCTCCGGACGTGGTGGTGACACCACAGCGGAGTGACGACTATGCCAAAGAGCTGTCGAGTTCTCGGTTTTGTGGAGTTTTTCCTGGCGATGGATGGAGTGGTCGCATGGAAGACGCAGTTCTCCACGGATGTATTCCAGTGATCATCCAGGCAAGCAAAAACTTTAGCTGCAAGTGGTTTAATCTATCTCTTCTTTCTAATGCTAATGCAGGATGGCATTCATCTCCCTTACGAGAGTTTGCTCGATTATGAGAGCTTCACGGTTCGCGTAGCGGAAGACAAGATCCCGGAACTTATCACGATCTTGAGAGTATGAAAGCTTTCATCTTTGTTCTAATTCTTTCTTTCGTTTTTTTTTGTTTTGTTTTGTTTTTTCTTTTTCTTTTTGCGTAGAACATCAGCAATGCCGAGGTAGAATCGAAGCTGGAAGCCGTGAGAGGACTGTGGCAGCGGTTTGTGTACCGCGATGCGATCTTGCTAGAGGCAAGGAGGCAAAAGAAGGATTGGAATCACTACCAGGATTGGGCTCAGCAATACGAGACGTTGCTCGAAGACGATGTCTTTGCAACAGTGATACAAGTAAGTATCACAAACAACAGTGACACAAACTCTCAGCTAAAGTTTTGTCTTTTTTGGTTTCCTCTCTCCAGGCATTGCATTACAAGCTTCACAACGATCCATGGCGAGCAAAGCTCCCGAAAAGAGAGTGGGGAATCCCACCAAGTTGCGGTATCAATCGCGCGTGACAAACTTTTTTTGTTCTCTCAGAGAAGACCCAAAGAAGGAATTTTATGTCTTTAGGGCTTCTATGTTCTTCGATCTTAATGTTTGCGGCGATGGCAGCCGAGGCGGGAGGCGCTGGCCATAGCTGGGATGCACCGGCGTCGCCATTCCTCACATTGTCAAGGCCGTGATGCACGAGTCGGTCCTCGCGGCATTGCCTGAGTCTCCAACAAGATCCCATTCCGGCAGTACTCGAGAATCAGCGTCATGGTCCTTCCACTCCCGTGATTCAATTTTATGATGTGGTTGCTATCCAGCCGATGAACCAGCAAGCGTTTGCTCAAGCTTGCACGACCATGGAGGTAAGAACGAGAATTTTAGATCTCTCTTCTATTGCTTTGTCTCTTGGTTGATGTGATAAGCTTGAAGAAGTTGTCTTTGAGGATCAAATTTTCTGCCTTGACATATAGCCTTTCTTAGTCAATTTACTAACATTTGCCCAGCATATGCTGTGTAATTAGCAAAATACTGTTTTGATTTTTTAATATATTAAAAACTAAATTAGAATAGTATTAAAACAACAAATATTATATTCCACTTTGATTGAAAGAATTATGCTTAGAAAATGTTAGATGAATAAAAAAATAAATTCTTGTAAACTTGATAATATAACTATTTAGAACAAAATATATTCCTAGGCATAAGTAAGATAAAATATTCATTCATAAGAATATTATATACAAATTATTATTTGAAAATATGAATATATTTAGAAAAAAATTGACAAATAAAAAAGTAAAAACAAATAAAAAAGAATAATTACTGCAAGACATTAATTAATTATAAGTTTTACTCAAAATATAAAACAATAAGGTTTTAGGAACATCAATATATTACTACCCAGATCCAATAAAAAAATTAATTATTTGTAAATATAAATAATAAATTCAAATCTTATATTCCACAGTATTATATACTAATAAATTAGTAAAACTATTTTAAAATATTATTGTTTAATCAAGTACTACATACATTATCATAGTTTTTCTGACAATTATAAATAACTAAGGCTACATATAAAAATATAATATGTACTTTTATTGTTAAAGCCCCCCACAGTTGTGATTTAGCCAAAAAATGATGTCTGTTTGAGAGAAACCCTAATCATCTAGTAATAAACCTTACTTTTTAACTTCTAATATGGTTTCAACATTTTGATCTTTTGCACTTTTGATCTAATGTGGTCTAAAAGTAAAGTGGCTACTTTTGAGTGAGGATAGGCAGATGCCTGTGCAAAATGCCTGTGAAAAATTAAGTTAGATATGTGCGGTTCATGAGATTTGGGGAGTTCTCATCATGACTTATTTTTCACTCTTTGTTTTCAAGTAACGAACTTTGAACTACAGTCTATATTGCGGTGGGGGGGAGGCAGGGTTTCACTGTGAGCTAGTTCAACTTGGAATTTTTCTCACACCTCTTACTGCCATTTTCATCAGGATATACAGCAAAAAATAGTTTGGGAGATACAAAGTGTCTCCTTATTAACTGGAACTGGTTTCATTGGAATTCTTTGCAGGTTAAGACACTTTTTCAACCGATTGTGTCTAAAATGCCCATGCCTCACGCTGTTCTTGAGTCACTAAAAGACATCAACATTTGATGCGGGAGACATCTAATGGGAAAATGTTCTCGATCTTCAGCTGCATGCTCAAGTTCCTCTGGGAGCTCACCGCCATCCGGACTTCGAGAGCCCCGGCTGGTAGTGACGGACATAGTGAATGCGTCCAAAGTGTATTCCAGCTTCTTATCTTCAGTGGGAGCATCAGCAGATGATGACGATGAGAGGCAAATGATCGTTGTGGATGGCTGGCTGGAGTTTGAGGCCGCAGCTTGAATCGCTGTGCACATCAAGGAGAGTGGACGCGCTGCTGCTGGAAAAGACCGATGGCTTCTAGTGTGGTAAGAAAAAGTTCCATGTAACTGATTCGGTTTCCTTTTGTTAGAGCTATGGCCCCAGTGACTCATGAAACTTTCCTGTAGAGATTTTGGAAGCCACTTCCAATGCACGTAAGTAGAACCGTGCCTGTCACTGGGTTAGGCTTGATACTAAACTGCACTCCCAGGAATTCTTTGATGTGTTGCAGCGTCTTGATACTGTAAGAAGAGAGCTTACCAACCCTGACTTTGGAAACATCTTCCAGGCACAGAGCACAGAGGATGAACAGCAAACCCTGTATGGCAAACAGGAAAGTTTGTGAGATCGCCTTCTTTCCTTTCCAGCTTCACAGATAGATACCTGGTGAGTTGAATTTACAACTCCTCCCAGCTTTATTTCCTGTAGCAAGGACATGGCTGCTTGCGTCCCCAGGTCCTCTGGAAGCTGGAGCTCGGATGCTTCTGAATGCGTAGCCGCGCTCTCGGAGCTTAAAATGCAGCCGGTGGTCGTTTCTGCCACCAGTGAGATCCCATAGCCCGGAGATCTGTGCCATGACAAAGGAAGCAAGATGAAAAAAGTTTACTTTGCAGCACAAAATCAGTTTAGAATATCTTTTGTATATAAGCTAGGGTTTTTGGGCTGATTGATATGCACATTTTTTGTATTCCCTTTCCATATTTCTTTTGTTCTTTTATGTTCTCATCTCTATTTGTTTGTCACTGTTTTGTAGGTAGAGGTGAGAACGAGAGTACAAGCAGAAAAGACCTTACTCACTTTTGGCAACCACGGTGGGATAAACCATCATTCTTTGACTTAAAAAATAGTTGGGAGAAAATCATTTGTGAATTTTAAATGTGCTCAGCACTAAAAATCACAAGTAGATCTCTTTAGTGATTACAAAGGTCCTTAGCCCAGATAACACTAAATAAAGAAGCTCTTTTTGAGATTGTAATGGCTTAGTGCCCAGACAATGCAAAAAAAATAGTTTTTCAACCATCACCTAATCCACAGAGTATGAGATGAGTTTGAAATTAAAGTTCAACATACATTGCTAAGAAACTCAAAGTCAAATTGTTTAACTAACAATTTCTTGAGAAAAATCCAAAAGAACAAGGAATGGAATTTATTTGATGTGAAAAACATAATTAATTACTTTAGAATGCTTTCCTTATGAGCAAGTTTTTACTAGAGGACACATTTTTCAGTGGCGTGTTACAATTTTTTTAAGCATATATAAGCAGGAAAATTGGGTACTTATAACTCTTGTTTTCGACTCTAGCTTAAAGAGAGCTAAAGCCAGCCTTAGTGAAGAATAAATTGGAGAATTATTCACCTAAATCTTATGAGACATTAACAAAGGTAGAATCACAATTAGAACATTATGTTGTCTTAAGGCTTTGATCCAAAGTCCTTTAGCTTTGACTACTACTCAAACAAGTAGATTTGTCCCGAGTTTAAATCTCCTATGCATATTACAAGATATTATGAGACTCGAACAAGACTCACAAGTCAAAAATTTGGAAACAGTTATCACAAACTGCTTTAACCGTTCAAACTGTTTTATGCTTAGTACACCTAGACAAATTAATCAAGGCTCATCTTTTATACATAGAGAGCTTACAAACACTACTTAGTGTGAAAGGTGTCACTTGTTTATAGATTTTGAGGGCACTCACATCATATCTAACTCATAGGGAGGAATCAAGGGCAATCACATGAAACATGCTTTATATCCCCTAAAATAAGGCATAGACAAAAAGCACATATACAAGTGAATAGGCGTGATAATCCACTTATCAAACTAGTTGAGCAACACTCAATTGTTTGGGGAAATACTCATTACTTTAAGTGTGAAACACCTTTTGCAAGGTGTGAACCACCCTTTGTAAGATGTAATCTATAGGTGTACATACCTCCTCATAAGAGAAAATTCCTATTTAGTGAATATTTTTCACATAAGCAAAATTATACAACTACTCCAGTAAGAGTTGTAGCTCAATTTCCGCTTATGTTTGGAACATATAAATCACCCCGTGTGTAAATTGAGCTTTTGTTAGATGAAGCTGTTGAGAAGCTTCACACTATAAATGTGGAACAAGGAGTTGTAGAGGTTGCTACTAAACATAAATGTCAGTCTTGAAAACATTGCTACTGTCACTTTGATATTTAAAGAACTAAAACAAGTTTAGATATATTAGAAAAGAGTTTTGTGTAAAAAGGTGAAACAACCTTAAACACTCCTAAAAATTCAAAAATATATTGCAAAACTCAAAAATTTATTATACAAACTTGAGCAAAGACTTGTATTGACCATAACCGCCCATTAACAAAGAGGCTAGAGAAAAATTTGCCTTGGAAAACATCTTTTATCTCGATCTAAAGCAAAGTCTTTTACAAATTAGGTATCATATTTTTAGAAAGCTACCTAACGTCATTCCACAAGCAAATTGATCTATAATAGGCTATCATGTACTAGACAATTTGATTTTTATGTTGATTCCACAGGGCAATTTCATGGATTGGTCTTCACACCCTGTTCAAATTAGTCCATAGTGTTGATCCAGTTTACCTAAAATTTACCAAGAGCAATAAGCCACTCTTTTTAATTCCACAGTTATAAGGGCAAAATTGACTATAAGCTAAAGGGTAAGACCCACTGTGAAGCAGACAAGCTACTTTGGAATTGGTTATCATGCATCAAAGTCTTGCATTAAATTAATCTTAACCACACTAAATACGGGTAGAAAGAAAAGGACTTCTTGCACACCTAGGTGGAGAGATTAAAGATTGATGACTGTCGCACATGTGACTTCGGGTATCGAAAGTTACCTGTCGACCAGTCCTTACAGACACTCTTACCTTACTGCCACGATGGCAGGAGGTCGGTATTGTTGAACCCTTTATCAGCCCCTCTTGTTCAAGTGTTAGTAAACTGGACTTTGCATCTGTACTTGGCCGGATGAGCATAAGGACGGAATTCCTAAGTGTCTATTCAGCCAAGCATACTTGGCCTGGATTTTTTGTTCTCTTTTGCTTTGTCTTGCACTGGCTTGACAAGAACCCTCGCGTATTGAGATTGGTCCCTCAATATCGCTACATGATAGCTTACCGTGTCTGCCAAACACCCTCACTATCATGCCCTTTGTGTTAGTCTCAATTCGGTCTCAAATGCTATTTATGGAAAGTGTCCAGATTTGCTCATTTGGCATATCTACGGAATGTAGAGATCGTCCTGAACACAATGGTGTTCGTCCCGTGTCCAAATTCGCAATCTAGGGACATTCCATATTTAGTAAGTTTCGAGCTTGTCCCAGAGACTAACTCCTGATACTAAGGGAGGCTTGGGGTGAAAGCCCAAAGCGTGTGTTCCTCAAGGGGGGGGGGCTGTGGGGGGTTCCAAATGTATAGTAGGGATAGTGGGTAGGTCGGGCATGGCCGACCAACCTGAGGCATAGTCTAGCTCCCGCTTGCGTGCCTGTCCTTGTTCTGCGTCCGGCTTGGGTCTAAGCCCAAGTTCCATTCCATGCTAGTTGGTGGGGTACCCATATCCTTGCGTTAGGCCACCGGTATGCCGAAATAGCGTCAGACTCCGTTTGGCTCCGTTTTGCGTGCTGGTCCTGGCATTGGGATACTGGTTGCTCCAGGACTGTTCCAAGTCGCTCCGGGCTCCTGTCCCTTCGCTCCTTGGGCTTCATGCTCGGGAGTTGCTCCATGGTTCGGTTCTATCACTCCTTGGCTCCATGCTTGGGAGTTTGGCACCGTTCCTTTGTTCAGTGGCCCAAGGCCCTGAACCTCGGGTTCCTATGGACACGTGGTATGGACACGTGGCATGTGACACGTGGCATCTGTCACGTGGCACAAAGAGGGTTTAGGTTCCACTTTGTGGTGTTATCCTATGGTAAATCACCATAGGATAAAGGGTCAAAAACCACATGCACTACATTTGGTATCAGAGGATGAGTCTCAGCGAGTACTATACAATGGGATTGGGCAACTAGTCTTGTTGCATACACAGAGATGAAAACGATGATCCGAGTGGGTACACGTTTGGTGCAAAGGGTTCGCAATTGTTCCTTAGGTATGGATTTGGTTACCTTGTTGTACCTTATGATGTGAGCTTGCTCTTGGGTTCATAAGATGGATGTGACATGTTCCGTATGCACAAGTTTGAGCTTGAGTGAGGCACATTAGCAACTCAAGGTTACGCTTTGAGTTGGCAGGATTAATGTTAGCCTATTAGTCGTTCCATGAGTTGTTCCAATGGTTCTATAAGTTGTTCCATGTACCGTGGGTAAAAGCAAACCTTCCCTGAGTTTGCTATGAGTGGCAAATAGGCTGGTCCGTAGCTGTTTAGCACGGCACTAGTGGATCCTTCCTAGGCATGATTATAAGTGGATCAATCAAGACTATAGGGATTAGTCTATTGGTTCAAGTAATCATTGCTGTGCTCTCTCATAAACTTTTCTTGGATTGGACTGAAGGCAGTGCGAAAGCAAGCTTGAGGTGTAGTCAAAAGATAGGACCGAAAAGAGAGTCATCGGGGACGAAGGATCAAACACGTAAATCATCTTTTCTTCTTGGAAAGATGATTTGCAACGAAGTGTTAACTCATTGCTCGTGTTCACATCATGCAATCAAGAGTCCCTACTTTGATGCATCTTGGAGATGATGGTCTTACAAATGGCGAGTTATGGGATGGATAGCAGTGAAGCGCTATACCGTTTTGTCTAGGCTTGCTATTGAAAGACTTGAGTTACTATGCTCAATTCTTTTTCCGGGAACCTTGCTATTGTTCCTTGAGTAGCTTGGTTGGATTAGTTTTGAGTTTGGTCGGAAAAAGAGTGGCATGTGCTTATCCATGTTGTGAACAAAAGTTAGTGGTGTCGGGTGTTGTTAATCTCTATTGGTGGAGTGTGGCATTTATGTTGCATTTTGTCAAATCGAGTTGACACTTGATAGTCACATAAACTTTTGAAGTAATGACATGGGTGTTGCTCATGGTGTTTCTCAATTGATGATCAAGTCATTGTGATTTCCATATCATATCCATGTGATAATGAGCAATGTGTTTACGAAGTTGCTTGGTTAAACGATGATCAACCCCAAAGTGGTTGATAGTGAAGCTAATCTACTTGCACGTAGTAGCATTGTAGTAGCTTTGACTAGATTCTCAATGGTGGTCCATTATGCTAAACTTGAGTTGGTACCTTGTTTCCTTGAGGGTTTGCCCATAAGGTGTTGGAAAGGGTTATAGCATTCACTTGCTATGGCTTGTCAGTTGATCTGTTAGCACTTGGAGTAGATTGTTGGATGGAGAAAGTGTGTAGTTAAGGCATTAACATCACTAACACTTGTGTTAGTGGAAGTGGCATTATTGTTATTTCGAGTGATGAGGAATTTTCCTTGAGCTTGATTTTCCATGTCATTTCTTTTGTTAGTGTTTTAGCTTCACATTGAATCTTGAAGGTGGTTGAAGAAGAGTGTTAAGTGCAATGTGAATATCCGAAGATGTGGTCTTCGTGATCAAGCCTTGGATGTTCACTTTGCATTTGCGGATGTTAGTGTTGGATGTTAGAAGTATGGGCAAAAAGATGTTCGAGGCTTAAGCATACTATGGGTCATGAGAATTTGTGTTGAGGTGAACCTATGTGAAGTTGTTAGTAGGAGGAAGTTGGTTGAGTCTTGAAAGTTTGTATTCCTGGACTGAGAGTCATTCTTTCTCTAGGATGGAAAATTTTTCACAAATTTCCTTAGATTTTTCCAATGGCTGATCTGTTGGTCACTTTGTTCGAAAACCATTCC